GAGGATACTGCCGTTTGTAAAATCGAGCCGAATAGGAGGCTTTCAGCCGACGGGGTCTTCTTGTAAGGATTATTTAACTTGCCGTAGCACCTTCAGACGTAAAAAAACAAAAACAAGAGTACGCTGTGTGACCGTCAAAGTATCTCTGAGTTTCCAACACTTAAATCAGTCGTACTGATGCACATCTTAAATAAACCGCAAGACAGAAACAACAAATGCCACCCAAAAGGTCGATTAATAGTGAAGTTGCTTCGTCTCAACGTTATGTTCGACCTCTGAGTCCGTGCCGAGAGAATCAAGCTCAGATATTTTTGACATCGTATTAAAGATGTCAGCTCTTGAAAGCAGCCCTTTTAAGGGTCAACATGCTAATTCATATTTTGAATAGGTAACTCATATACTTAACGAAATATAAATGTTCCTAATGTACATATTTTTTGCAGTCAGATTTGGGAACGGGAACCTCTAAATCAGGAAGTCAGTGAACAACGAATCACCGACAAATAAAATGATACGTTCAGAAATTTGGTGTGGACGTTGAACCATAGGTGACTAATCGAAGATCACAATTATTACCATCCAACAATCGGTAATATTAACGTGACAGATACTCGAATTTTTTTTAGATGGAATTATTATAACGCCGTGGTACACGATCCTTTGCGCATTTTCAATTAAGAGAACCGACGACTGCTCATACCTGGTGAAGGCAAACACAGAGTCACTGAGCACCCTCATCTCCAGGTCCCCGTACATGATGGATAGGTCTCTTCGCGCTCGTACGAGAGCTTTATAAATGTTTAAGTGATCTGGCTTCTGCGACGTCTTGATGTCAGCGTGGAGTTGTGACCACGTCTCGTCTGTATCAGACAAAACCGTAATATGTTATTGCATAACACGTCTGGGGCTTTTACACTGTCCAAGTAAATGAAAATACGAGGACGATGTGACTTTTACAGTACATTGACATGGGCGAATTTTAGCAACTTCTACATTAGTGTTATGAAGACGCAACATTGGTTATCTAAACATTAACTGTGTACATAGGCGTGTAAGAATACTAACCCACGGTCATTTGTGCCTACCTGAATTTTGATCGAGGCTGTCCTTGTAATTAGCGCTCACTCCACTCGCGTCCCACGGCACGGGTGTGTTCTCCATTCCAAGTTCCTCGCCGTGGTAGGTGACGGCCGTTCCGGGTAGCATCAGCAAAATCATGTTGAGACAGTCGACTAGGTCACCTCCGAGCCCCGATGCCTCTTGACCGTGGTCGTGGTTCCCCAGCTGCAGGCAATATTTAGATATTCGGTTCCTACCTCCTGGGAAATTCCCAGCACATCCGTTAAAACCAGGGCTGAAATTGGCTTTACTGAAGAAGGTAGATGGCCCAGATCGCAATGATCGATATACAGATATAAAGAAAATTATAAATGTATCATTGGGAATAATAGTCGCTTCGTTAAAGACGTTTCTCTGGAGCTGAATAGGCTGAATAAACGGCCTATACCCAGATCTGTGTCCGTTTCCAGCCCTGGTTAACAGAAATCTGTTAATGTTTACCCAAATCGCTTTTTTTTTCTTACAAACGATATGAAAGCCATGGCTAGGTCTACTTCCTTTGAGCGAACTGCTGAGTCATTTAATATTAAACCAGGTGTAGAGCAACGTAATATGCTACTGTAATTTAATTCTTACCGCGAAATATCTCCCTGGTCCCGAAAGAATAAGAATAAGAGTCATGAAAGTATTCATCCTCACAGTAGTAAACTGTGTTTATTTTAACGGACGTACATATGTAGTTTAATTTATAATCTAATAATTTCGAAGTTTTGACTACACAGGTATTTCGAATCTTGTGATGTATGCCCCAATTTGAGGGCCAAATGTTACCGGACAAGTTGTTCTGGCGGAAATGCTTTATATTTGTATTTGGGAGGGCTGACTTCGAATCTCAACTGTGCTACTGATTGGGGTTTCTCGTCCTTTTCATCAGGAGAATACAGGGATGATAAAAACGACGCTTATTTCCAAATTAGCATCTGTTAACTATTTATAATGATCTCAGAATATTCAGCCTGAGAAGCCTGGATTGCATATATGCTGGAACTTACAACCCAGTTTGTCCACTTTGTCTCTGGTAGGTTGCTCATCCACAGTTCTATTGTGTTCTTAATGTCATGAGCTGAAGAATCTCTTTGGATGTTAGTCATAAGATAAAAATTGAAGGGAAAGTCTGCCTGTGGACGCTGTTGATCACCATAATATTCCACAGTCTTTTCGACTGAATCGTATATTTCAGCCATTATGAGTCTGAAAAAAGAACGTAAGATTTTATTTCACAAGCTTTTCTACAGACAGGGCCCATAGAATCGCGTGCCATAAAGTGATGCAAATAAAGACAGTTTCTTTGAAATGCCATAGCAATTTATTAAGAATGCTACTAAATTGCAAACAGATTCATGTTTATTCAATCATTTTTTTAACAAAATCAGTCATCAGTGATATATCTGGCAATGATTTTTCTTGAATGTTTATAATACTAGGTTTAAGTCATGTTTTTTCTATTCATATGGACCGTTCCAAGTGTTCCAGTAGGAAGCGTCGTAGTACTTGATTTGACGTTCTTCATTAAACTGTACAGTTGCTCACAGCGATAGGTAATCCAGATACCGACGACATTAAGAAAACTTGTTTTCTGATATTAGATGCTGTTATATACCACATAGGATGATAACGATATTACATAATATTTACGCGGGCCGCACAAAACTCATCGGCGGGCCACGGGTTAATAACCCATGACTTAGTGGTTTTTGCATCATTTGTTTTCATTGTGATGTGAGGAATGTTGGAGGCTGATAGCTGGCCACGATGTCTCATTTACCAAAAGTAGACGGAGTCTGCTTTTCGTATAAGTTTCTTACTAATGTCAGAGTTCTGTATTCGCCTCTGTTTGTCTCCGAATTAAAGTATAGACAACGGTAATATCGACACTTTCATAAAATCCGGAATTAACTCTTTACTATTGGTTGCCGCCCGATCTCGGTATTGCCATCAAAGATGCTAACGGCTTTCAAGCGAACTTGTGAGATGAGAATAACGCTCCCGTTTAGTGGACGATCGTGAAGTTTTATGTGGTTATGCTGCACATGATTATAAGCTAATTGTGTTTTTGTTAAAGTAAAAAATGAGAATATGTCGGCAGCGCGAAATATTCTGATGTGAGAACAGACTGATCATAATAATCTGATACGTGAACGTCGTATGGTGCAGTAATCTACACTTCTAAGCACGTCTATTAATATGAGATTTGAGTTTCTCGTGAAGGTGAAATCGTCAATGTTGATCTTCTGGTTAGCGACGCCATGTGGACTTGTAGGTGGAGGTAGTAACCTCTGTTCGTCGCAAACATTGATCTGTACCTGTAAGTACAAACGGCGGTACAGCCCAGAACATCATCATTGACACGTGTACTACACGAGGTCTATTAGAACCAACATGGCTTAAACCTTCGGGTGAGTAAAATGCACCACACATAAAAGATTTACCTGCGTACTTTGTCGGTTCGTTCCGAGTAAGCATCCAAAGTGCTCCTGAACTCGGCCATGACACTGAACACTTCGGGGAGGTTGTGCGTGTGCACGTGCTCGAGTCCGCGATAGTCCCCCTGCCGGACAGCGGTCAAATTGACAGGTGGCTCGTCCCGTAGCTCCTCGTCCTCGAACAGGTGCGGCATGGCGTCTACCCGGAACCCGTCCAGCCCCAGCTCCAGCCAGAATCTCATCACGTCCTGAGGAGCAATGGACGATACTTGGTCACCTGATAACGGCTAATAGGAAACATGCCCCAGTGCAGCCTATTTTACTGTACTTTGTCTTTAGAAAAACAAACTAAAATTCAAAATTTTTATTAACATGTCTACAAAACGTTTCTGCCCCTTAAGACGATGTTGAGCGCAACTCACCAGCATTTCCTCTTTGACCTCAGGGTTACGGAAATTGAGGTCAGGCTGCTCCTTGGCGAACTGGTGCAGGTAGAATTCTTTTCTATCTTCGTTCCATTCCCAAGCTGATCCTCCGAGCACACTCAACTGCAAGACATAAATCAGCATCTGAAATAAGTACAGCACTCGTTGCTCGGTGTGTTAGAAACGGATTTCGCAGTGTTCGTATTTAGCGTCACAAGGCTAGTTTAACGGCGAACACCATAAATGTGCTGTAGAAATAAAAATCAGCTGTAAGATTTCAAGTTCTCATGGCGGCGAGTATGAAGATGGCAGCCTTCTGGGATACTGCGCCGTGTAGTCTCGGATAAGTCAACCGACGTATTAGAGGCCTGTGCTCCCTCAATAATCAGAACAATATCTCTGAAACGTCGGTCAACGTCTACGAGATTGCCCGGCGCAATTTCCCGGCAGGCTCTCATCTTAACAAATCGGAAGGTTTTTGTAGGATAAATAGACCTAGCGGCTACTTAACTGTTGGCTTGTCGTTATTTTGTCGTTTTACTCACCCAGTTGTTGGGAGGAGTCGGTTTGCCATCTTCATATCCTTTCGCAGGAGCCCACACGTAGTAGTGTGTATAAGGATCCTCCTTATAGACCGACTTCTGGAACCACACATGCCGATCGCTGGAGTGGTTCGGTATCAGGTCCATCACTAACTTCAGACCTGAGAAGTTACAGACGCAGTTTTCATTTAGGATAAAATGTTGTCCACCTATAATAACATTCTGTAGAAATCGGCCCAAGAAGAAGAAAACGGCATTTTTGCCATATTGATATAGTATAAGTAACACAGAAGACTCCATAGTAACTTCGGGTCGCAGTGGAAACCCCAAGTCGTGTCATGTACACATTATGATGAGAAACGTAGTATTTCAATGACAGTTACAAGCATAACTTTGCATACCTCTATTTTTCATCGCCTGCACCAAATCTTTGAAGTCTTGCAGAGTGCCGAAGCTCTCATCAACATCTTTGAAGTCTTCGATATCGTAGCCGAAGTCCTTCATGGGAGACTTGTATATCGGAGACAGCCATATCGTCTTGGCTCCAAGTTCCACGATGTAATCCAACTTAGATTCAATGCCTGTTGCAAAGAAAGACGGGCATGAAAATTCAAGGGCCAAACCCATAGAGCAAAGTCCTTCTTCAGAACTTAACAGTCACTCAGCTAGTAAAAGGAAAGCCTTTTATGGAACGCGAAAGTTCATTATCGATTCGATAAGAACCCAAATATCCAAAGATAATTGAGTACTGACATCCTCTTCCCTTAAGAGCCCCAACCATCTACGTAAGTTTCTCTCACGTTCTTTTTCAGGTTTTCAAACTAAAATTTTGTATTCTTTTCTCGTTTTTCTCATGCCTCTTTTATCTCATCGTCCTTGGTTTGATAACCCTAAAATTTTCTAATATGTTGGTGAGGTTCTTACGACTGCGAGTATGAAGATGACTGTTTTCTGGCATGTTGCACAGCGTAGCCTCGGAAAAGTAACCGACGTTTCGGAGGTGCTTGCTGCCTCCATAATCACGGAAATGAGTAGTGGTAGGCAGCAAGCACTTCTGAAACGTCGATAAACTTTTACCAGTACACGGCGCAACATCCATTAAACAGGGAATTACTTGCCCAGCTGAGAAACAGTGAACTTTTAAGGAAATACCCTGCGTTATTGTGTTATTTGTGGGTTAATCATTTCTTTATCACCGGTCTCATGCTAGTATCACACGTCGTCTTGGATCACTGAGTGGCGTCGGACAGTGCAGAATCCACGATTTTTCTGATGTAATAAATGTCACATTTAAGTTATGCTGTTTCGGAATTGTTGTTTATCGTCAACGCGTCAGTAGCCCATTGGCCTACAGTGCGACGCAGCGACAGTCGTCTGTCTACGTATTAAGCGTTGGTCACGCTCTGTATATTCTGTGCAAACAAAAGGACGTTTCCTCGGCGAAAAATAAACCCGGGAAACCCTCGCAGTAGGCAACGAGCAGGAACTTGCATGCATGAAAACTCGGATCGGCAAAACATTCAAGAATAAATAAAATGGTGGCAATAAGGATCGAGAATTGTGGAGAATTTAGGGATTTATAGAGACACGTTGCAAGACGGAATTCACGAGAAGATTTATTACTCTACTTTTCTTTAAAATTTTACAATTGTAGGCCTGTTAATCTTCTAGAGGATAATATAAAAGATAAATTTATTTTGGTACAAATTAGTGGCCTATTTTCATGCACAATTCTTACCTGGAAGTTGTCAGACATAACCTGAACATTTCACACTATTGGCGTGTTCATGACGTAGCACTTAAAAGTTAAATATAGTCAATGAATTTCGTGATTTATGAGTATCTGCAAGAGGCATTGGGGTAGGGCCGAGCGCCCACGTTAACAGTGATAATCAGGTTAACATTTTGAAAGACGAGAAAAATAAGAATTGTTTTGTTAGACTTTTTGTTGGGCGTGGCCCGTTATAAGACCTAACAGGGGATGAGATGATATCAGTAAGATGGATCTTTGGTTTCCGAAATATATTTTGAGGATGGGCGGCGGATGGAGCTGGCTCAGGGTCATGTCCGGTGACGGACTATGACATGAGCGGTGTTGAACCTGAGACTTAACAGCAATCATTGCTGTAGGGGTTAGTAGAACGGCCGCCCAGGGTCTTGCGTATCGACGTCACAAAACACGCAGTGCTATTTCTGCATTGGCCTAGCTCGAGCGTAGCAACGTAGTATATATAGCTTTATTAGTTATTTGAATTTAAAATAATGTTCAAGTGAAATCTCTACTGTCTGTTTCCATAATTGTTTATTATTTATACATCTTAATTATAAAGTGAAGTTGATGAAATACTCGGGCAACAAGCCGCGTCAGGTAGCTGAATGGTGAATTAACAATTTCTCCCGCCAACGTTTCGATAGCCATCTCTGCTCTCATCCTCAGGGCAGCTGCGAAACGAGTTCCCATCGGCGACCGCGCTACTTAGGATCAGTTTCGTTCCGCTGCTGCCCTGAGGATGACAGAAGAGATGGCTCTCGAAACGTTGGCGGAATAAATGGTTCATTCACCATTCAGGCACCTGACACGGCTTGTGCTCGATAGTTTTTCATCAACATCTTAATCACCTTAAGATCTGGAAAGCTACGTTCGCTGATTGGCACTGTGAAACTAAGACGTAATATTGTTACCTAAAAAATAACTGAAATATTAAGGGTACTCATAAGTTGGTTTGCTACGGGTCCGCATCCCCCCTGAGGGCAACCTTGGCATCATTACCAGTCGATGCTGATGCCCACCATGACCTGAACTCTAGTATTCTGATACCAGATTCTTGCCGTGACGAATAGCAATGTCGTCACGTCAGACTGACGGCAAAGTATCACTGCATGTCCTGGGTCACGCGGTGGCTGTCACGGATGATCATATAACACTAATATTGAAACACATTTCGCTTACATAAGTACTAGAGTCTGCATGATACAGCAAAAATTGATGCTGCAGATTTGTGTAGATTTATCCTCCGTCCTCTCCGAATGGTTTCTCGATTTTTTAATTACCGACATGTGTTTTCGTTCACAACATTTGTTGTTCGGTGTTGTTTTTGTGTTCATATCCGCTTTAATCGGAGCCCAAATGTTCATTACCGTGTTCAATTAATCTAGTTCATACCCTCCCACTTCATTTATCCTCCAATCTTCATCTTCAGACTGGTCACTTTCCTTCCATCAGATTGTATCAGATCGTGTCGGGATCAGATGATTTGCACGGGTCACCTTGTATGAAATCTAGGCGGCTTAGATGGACAAGGGGGAAACATGAAATGAATAAACAATTTTGGTGGCACATGTCTTGTAAAACGACAACTTAGAAGAACGAGAAAGAGATAGGGGGATAATGTGAAGTTGAATAGTGGGGAAATTGGTTGTGACGAGGTTCAGTACGTAACTGGATCAGGATTGTATCGATTTGCCTGTTTTGATTTTAGTGACGCTGTAGTTTTGGGTTTTGCCACGAGAGAGAAAGAAATTTGGCACGGACAAAGTTGCTGCATGAAGAATTTTTTGGCATGTTAACAGTCAGAAAGATGGCGACAATGCGAAACTTTCAAGTCATCTTTAAGGTAGAATGATTCAGTATGAAGGGATGTTACGGAAAACAGACGACTGAGGTGACTCATTGGGAATTAATAATTATTGCTGTTATCTGTGCATATTTGCGTGAATTTCTAAGGAAAGCAGACGTCATAAGTTCTTCCTGTAAATAAATCTTGAGACTTGGCTGGAGCGATGGCAGAGTTCAGTGCCAGTACATGAAACCTTTCCAAGTATTGCGTAATACTAGTGTGGGGGAACACGCAGCTGATTAAAACTGACCTCGCGCTCCAGTGGGTGAGAAAAAAAAACATTAATTATACAAAGATGTGTCAAGTTAAAGGATTCATTTCGAACTTCCTATAGATAAGTTTCTGGTATCACGTCCATATGGCCAAAACGATAACTCTGAACCGATTGATAGATTTTTAAGACAGTCGGCATAAATATCATACCACTAGCGGCTTTACACCTTTTTCACGTCCATTTCCTGCAATAAATGCTGTGTAAATGGAAGCCGTGCGAACTTACGAGGTGGGAGCGGTAATTAAGTTCGTATACTGAAATCTGTTTTTGTAACATTAAAAAGTACGAAATGTGAAGTATGTTTGTAAAATAAAAACAACAGCACAGAGGCACCGCGAAATCTATATTTATTTTTAAGTTTGATAGCGATACTTCGTGAATCGTTGAAGCTTTGTTTGTGGGATTTTGTGTGAGGATAGAAAAATGTATCAAGCATTTTAAACGTTAAACATTTACGGACAAGGTGACAGTGTAAATTTCAGGTTATACCTATGTGTTAGTTTCGTTGTAATTAGAAACTAGTATGCAGAAATGACGATAATTTATAATTCTTCATCGCCTCGCGATGTCGATTGATGCATTTGAAGGAAAGAAGGAATATGTATCCTTCCCATAACTCCTTATTCACTGTTGTCAATACTCAGCAGCAAAATAAAAAGATTTAAAGTAATAACAATGTTTCGGTTGTATTGCCAAATAACCAACGCATCTGAAGTGTATAAAATTTCCAGAAGGTATTTTGAGGAGAATGTTTGTAATATTTTGGGCACATACGATAATTACGGAACCAAATGTATTACAGATGTTCTCAATTTGAAAGTATTTGTGAAGTAATTATTCAGTGAAATTTATAGAGATTAAATAAGCTGGAGGTTTGGAAGATTGATCCGCGATACTGGTATAACAGTTGTTAGATGATGACCGTCATGACAGATTTTCTACTTTTGCTACATAAGGGGATAAACGATCAAATGACATTTCTAGTGAAGTACCTGACCAGAAAAGTGACATGAGTTAGTCATGTTATTACTGTCGCAGTGTTCGAAGACTGTTTCCCAACCGGATGTCTGCAAGTTGTTCCAAAGGTTTGAGTAGATACGAAAAACGTTGAGGAACACTGCCCTAAGATTTTCCAATCTTAGGCTACAGTCGGACTGACTCCGTGTACTGATAAAACTGTCGCGACCATGCGGTTTGCTTAGCGAAGGACATAAATTAACGTCATGCATAGCTGGCGACAGTTCGTGAAGGGGAAAATTGCTGCTCTAAGAGAGTGAAAGCAAGAGCGGAGGAACTTTGAAAGGGCAAGAGTACACATTATCACAGTGGCATGGTCATATATAGCTCTGATAAAGGAAGCAAGAAACCATACATTTTTTGAGAAAAATATGTCTGAATGAAGGACGGTAGAGTTTTGATTACTCGAACTTCGGCTATCCGACATTTAGTTTTTTTCTTAAGTGCCGTATCGGAACGCTTCGGTTTATCAACAGTCAACGCAGCGTGTAATGAAATGAATAATACTCCCCGATCATGCACCTTACACATTTTATGTATAAAGTATACCCTCGTCTTATGTATTATCCGACTTTATTACCGTGTTCACAAGAATATACCGGGTCTTATTCTGAGCCAGATGAATCCAGTGCACACATGCACACCCTAGCTCATTAAAATAATATTCTACAACATCCTCCCATGTACGCCTAGGTCGTCCAAGTGGTTTCTTCCTTTCAGGTTTCCCAACAAAACTTTTGTGTGGGTACTGAAAGCCACGATCGTGTCATTACCCTTGATTTTGTAGTCACACCGTAATGATATTTGGTGAATTACGTAACTTTATCTTGGGTGACGATTGTAAATCGCAACAACGCTACGTGCAGCGGGACAGGGCAAGGCAGGTTATCTAGACCATTTCTCTACGACTCATCGTGGTACAAGACGCTGCTCAGGGCCTGCAATCTTGTAACGGGACTTCAATCACACGTCTGTCGGAGACGGCTGCCATTAGTATTGTCCTCGTTAATGGCAGTGTTTCTGTGCAGAGTTTTTCTGAATTAATATTTTATATAATGTAAAAATGTAACAGTAAGAATGCCAATGTAAGAGGACAGTCTCACGATTCGCAAGCATGTTGTTATGTTGGGGTTCTTCTGGTAAACAGCGTCAATGGTCTCTTTGTATTGCATGCTGTGTCTACACAAAGGAATATAATCTCCATGGCATAGCCAGCCTACATTTTCCGCTCATGCTGTACCCGGTCCAGAGTGACGTCACCGTATGCTCCGTGTCCCTAGACACTGACCACACACACCGAGATGCTACAGTGTCGCTAAAGTCATTGTTTTATGTTTGGAAGGTACTTGATTCGAGCCTCAGACGGATGATTGTCTACTCGAAAATTTGACGGCGTCCGTCTCCCTTGCCACATATTTTAACTTCTGAATCGTTTGTCTGATTTTTGGTTTTATACCAGATATACCAAATATTTATTTCTTCTTCTACCGTAATTGAAAACAAATACACATCGCGTTCACAAAAGAATTACTGGTAAGACTTTAGGGCCTATGAAAAGAAAACAAGGGATAGGGCAAAGGAGCTCGCGAGGTACTTTAATGAACTAAACAGGCTTTAAGCGGGAGAACACGAGAAATTCAGTCAAGTATGTAGGATTTGAGGTATTGACGGCGATGAGTCCGAAGATGACTGTCTTCTGGGTTGTAGCGCCGTGCAGTCTAGAAGAAGTTTGCTCATCTCCTTGATGTTGGAGGTATCAAGGGCTCTCAAACGCTGGCAAGATTCTAGTAGACTACATTGTGCTACAACCCAGAAGACAGCCATCTTGAGAGAAGTGTAGCCGCTTTCCCATCTGAGATAAACTGGTACGACCCACTTTACAGCCTTGAAGTATCATGTACTGTACCTGACAGGCCATCCGCACCGGAAGTGTTGCCTTTCCGCAAGTCACGGGCGATCACTCCATACATTGGTCCCTCTTGCCACCACTCGACGTTGCGACAGCGAGGTGCGGTGACGACGAGGAACACCACAGACACTGCCAGCATGACAAACGCGAACCAGAAGAAGCCGAAACAAAAATATCGAAGTCTCACCCAGAACGGGTCACTGG